TATTTATACCTAGCTTCGTTTTTGGCCTGAAATACTGGTCCGAAATAGCTATTTTAGTATCCCAGTATACTATAGTATACTATTATGTGTAGGTAGCATTGAGTGTTCCAGAACTAAGACCTATCTTTCAACCAACATCTCCAACAACACCCTGGTGGCTGGGTGGTCAAGATAGGTGCTTGGGAATCTTATGGTTGCAGGTTTGATTCCTGCTGGAACTTCTTTCTTCTCTTCAATTTTTTTCTTTTTCAATTGGAGAGAAAATTTTTAAGTCCCTTGAAAGTTGAAACTTTACAACCTCTATGGGGCCTTTTATATGTGCAACTCCAGCCTGGGCTGGAGCGAGCGGGCCAGCCTGCCAAGGGTGTTTACATGTGCAAGGCCGGGCTGGTTGCCAGCCCGCAGTGAGTTTATATGCGCTGAGCAGACGCCAGCCCGTTGTGAGTATGCAGCAAACACACTACGACTGTAATGTGCTGCCCCGGGCTGAGACGCAGGGCTGCAAGCCATACTCAGGTTAAAAACATAAAAACTTTTTTCTCACACAATGTATTCTTCTGCTGATTTCTTTTCGCGCTGTGACACATGTTTGGTGTGTTGTATCACCTCGTTTCTTTTTCCTGTTTTTCACATTTTTAGCAGTCCATATCAAAGTATTTTGCAAGTAGTTCCCCTTCCATTTTAATGTAAATCATGCATGTCGACAAATAAACAGTGCTCATTGCACGTCCTTCTTGTTTCTGTACAAAAAGCTTCCTAGATTTTCAAGACAATATCGGGAATCCTCCTTATAACTTCCCTCAAGAGGTAAAAGTACCTATTTTTGCAGTACGAACGCAGTGTCGATACCATAATAATACAACTCTGGCCCGGGCTGGTTTGTTTATTATGTGCTTTTTCTGGCCCGCCTAGCCGGGATCCCGGGTGACTCGAGGCGGGATCCCGCCTCGCCGGGCCAGCCCGCTTGCCATGTTAACGCACCACAGGTTTTGTGTGGATTTGTGTATAACCCCGAGATCCCGTTGCAGGCGGGCTGGCCCGCCTGTTGACCAGCCCGGGCTGGAGCTGCACATATAATCACCCCCTAAGTGGGTAATATAGCAAAGTACATACCCAAAGTTAAAGTGGTGAATATGGAGATATATTCACTAGTGATAGATCACAGGAATTAGTGGGGGTTAATATGAGCTGGGTACAAACGAAGTTATACTACAGTGCCGTACATACACAGGAAGCGTGGGTGCTTACACGGATGTGGGCTAGAAAACGGGATAAGAGTGTTGACACTGGGCACCTGGGTGTGTAGACGGTGGTGGGCGTTATTTCCACTACGGTGGGAACAACATCATCACCATCATCAATCAACATCATCAATCAACATCATCAATCAACATCATCACCATCATCAATCAACATCATCAATCTCACTGTAGCCATCACCAATCTCCATTGTCTTTCCTTCACCACCAACGGTCACTTCACCGCTTCTTGTTCACATCACGTTTATGGTCACTTATGGTCCCAGGCCTGGCACACGCACTCGCATCCCTGACAACTTGATTGTTACTATTCATTTCACTAACTGTATCGCTCCAGCAGGGCATCAAAGAGGTGGTAAACTGGATGAAGATCTGGAAGCTACAGCCCAATGTCCAGAAGACCAAAAGTGTTGTATATATCTGCATGTCCTCCATCTGCACCTTTGGCATTTCCGAATTGCACCCAGGCCCTGGAAGTTGCAACATCTAACAGGCACCTAAGAATCATTCTTGACTCTAAGCTATCATGGTCCGAACATGCTGACCATATTATAAATTTGATATTGACAATTACTCTCCAGACAGCTGTTTCGCTCTTACTGAGCTCATCAGTGGAGACATATGATGTTGAATGAAAGAATAATAAGAATAGACTGATCTTTATAGGGCTAAATTGGCGCAATTGTGCCAATGGAAACAATATAAATTTGGCATACCCTAAGTGACAAAAGCGACAAAAGTGATAACAAGGTCAGGTGATAACGACACTGATGAGCTCAGGAGGAGCGAAACAGCAGTCAGGAGGGTCATTGCCAAGATCAATCTATATACCGGAATTGTCCTCGCTGTGGTGATGATGAAGTGAGTGCAGATTTTGGATCGGCCAAGAGCGCAATGTGGTGGTGTGGCTTAATGTGTGGAATGAACAAACATCATCCGGTATAGCCAAATTTCCGATTTCACTCAAAGTTGGTTCTTTTCATCCCTGTGTGGACCTTGTTTACCTACTATAACACTGCGGGCAGCTAGTGCAAGTGAGTTTTTTTTATTCTGTGAAACGCTTCCATTAAAAAATCTAAACCTCTCTCAGGAGGGCCCAGGCTTTGTCCCAAAGAGAACATTTTTTTGTCAATTCTTGATTTTCCAACTGCAATGCATACCTAAAATGCCCGAGTGCCCAACTGCTACGTCATGATTTCTACTTGTGAGACGAGGCATTGATGCACAAGTGAAACTGGTGTGCACTGGCTGCCCTGTAAATTTGGGCCGTCTTGCGCTAATGTTGCACTATTTGCTGATTTGTTGTGGAGGCATAGAAAGTTAATCCACTGCAGGTGATTCCACCCCAGCCCCAACCACCAGCTGGTGCCAGTAGTGGCAAGGGCTTTGGCAGCATCACATGCGCTCGTTGCTTGATTGGCTCGCCACCGCCTTTTTGGGGTACCTGTTCATTTGTTGTTAGCCACACGCCTGTCGCATGCCGCAACAACTACACAAATACCACAAGTTCGTATTTGGTCTGGCTCGTTTAGGTCACTTACCTTTGGCTGCTTGAGGTAGAATTTTGAGGAGCACATCTTCCATTTAAGCGGTATTTAAGGCAGGTTTTTAACTATGGAACTGCCCCTGCCCCTTTGCCCATTAGGGTGGTGGCTGCGCTATTGATATGGAACATTCAGGTGAGCAGGGTTATCACTAAGAGACCTTATTTATTGTCCTCTCTATCACTTTGTAATGCAGGAATTTGGGCCATAATTTCTTTAGCGAGCTGCCGTCGGGTCTTATCACATACAGTCCTCTTATTCGTTGGTTGTAAGTATGGTGAACGTGGATTGAGTAACACAATGTTTGTTAAAAATCTCTCTGTACCGCTAAACCATGGTGGACAACAATGAATTTGAATTATTATCCACTTTCACTGTGAGAAAATCCGCTTTGCCCGATGGACAAGGTTACGAGCAAGTTCAATTTTTAGGAAGTGAGCTTGAGCAACTTCTCGATAAGGCTACCCAATGGCCTGACTGACTCACGACTGACATCCGGAGCACACAAGGAGCACGCTGCAACTTCCACTCGGCAAACCTGCAAGAAAGCACCACTCCCTGCCCAATACACAGTATTTCGGGGAATTCACCCCTCATCAGTTGAGTGCGCACAGATGAGTGCCTACTGTTGTTGTTTCTCTCGGCCTTTTTTTATTCACAATGTAGGTGTCTGCTGGCATGACACTCCTTTTCTGTTTTCTTGAACATTATTTAGTGCCTAAAAAGCAACACTTATAAACTGCTCCCCAGGTCAAACCATCACCAAGGATACAAACTTACATACGCGCTTTGTTTCCAGCGCGACAAACACCTATTGAAGCCCCAGGTAGCAGTATGAGTTGCTCATGGAGTTGTGCTGAACTGACGTTAAGAGCCAGTTTAGCTATTCGCAACGCTGTCACCTCCAACAACTAGTCGCACGTCCGCGTGGGGGACAACAATACGAACTTAGAAGTTGCGACTTCGGCGGTAATAGTCATGAAGTTTGTTGATCCAACGAGGAACACACGCTTCTTGCCAAACTTGACACTTGACTGACTCACGACTGCCATCCCGAGCGCATGAGGAGCGCGTCGCACCTTCCACTCGGCAAACCTGCAAGAAAGCACCACTCCCTGCTCAATACACAATAATCACGCGTGTGTGCTATGGAAGTCGTGAGTCAGTCAAGTGCGAAGTTCGGCAAGAAGCCTGTATTCCCCGTTGGATCAATCAACTTGGAAGGGTAAATGTAATAAATGTATATACTGAAAGACATGACCTGATTACTCTTGATGATTGCTTTCCTACAATCCTATTTGTTCTATGTCCAGTTCCCTTTACCGCGCCAAGAATTTACGCCTGAATCACCAGTTGTGTGAATTAGTAACCCCAAGGAATTTCATGACAGCTTACTACGACTTCACTGCAAGCATAGAGGTCAAGAACTACATAAAAGAAAGTAAGTTTCGTGGATTCTTCTGAAAATTCTAAGATAGCAGGTGAGAAAATGTATTCGAGGGTAGCAATGGTCGGCTTTAGAGCGCATGGAGGAGGAGAGTTCTATGTACATCATTGAAGTATATGAAAATTCGTGTTGCATAATAAAATGACGATATTACAAGAGATACATAGATCAGTTATTTCTTCTTTTCTGGATCTTCTAATTAGAACACAACGGCTCACTCTTCTTGTATGACTTGCACACTTGCTAAGGTTTGTCTTCTCTTATAGAAGCTATTCTGTCAAAACCATAACTGAAAAAGAAGAAGAAAAGTTTTAACCGGGGAGGTTCGAATCCGCGAGGGGCAAAAGTAATCATATTTCATAATATTTCTACTTCAAACCTGTGCAGAAGGATGCTCAAAGGACTAAATTTCGATTGAGGTACGAGCCACCTTAAATTATTCTCTAATTAATGTGAGGTAAAGCCACTCACTACACACTTTCTCTCTCTCTCTCTCTCTCTCTCTCTCTCTCTGTCTCTCTCTCTCTCTCTCTCGTTCTCTCTCTCTGCTACTGGCGTGCCTGGTTGTGATGAAGCCGAGACCCAAGGTCGGCAGAGCATCCCAGACCACGCCACCACTCCCCTTATTCATGGCTCACACATGACGAGGTTTCGTGGCTCTTGTAAAAAAAAACTTCTTTCTTTATCATTCTATTGGTTTGGAGAGACTTCCATGATAGGTATATCCATTTACCTCTGGAGAATCCGTAAATAAAAAATACAATGTAAATTAAACATGATATCGGGTAACTCATCCGTTATCAGTTGAGACTGATCAAGGTTAGGAAACATGTTCTCCGGCAGCACTACATTACATAGCCATCAAGCTGTCAACACATCACCAGAGGTGGATGCTGACAGTGACTCACTGTGTGGTGAAGCTGTGTCTATTTGTTGGAGGTGACAGCGTTGTGAAAGGCTAACTTCTGGTGTCTGTTTTGCATCACTGCATTAGTGGGTCAGACTCACATTCCTAACTGGGGCATCACAAGGCAATGTGTTCATCATGCTGGAAATGGAGTACGAATACTTCTACCAAAGTAACCAACACCACAACATAATGATCTTGTTATAGTTCACCACCTATCATAAAACTTCGTGTAAAGGGAGTCCTCTCTGCCTTGAGGCACATGCAGCCCCTCGTATTGCCCAAACACCTAATACTTCATTGCTGGTTGATGTGCGTGCTTGTGATTTGTTGCAGACCTACCTGAATCCTTCTGTCACAGTAGCTGTGAAAACATACCAAAGAATGAGCGTAGGTGCCAGAGTGGCTGCATCGGGACTGTCTATAATTATACTTGTGTTGGTGAGTCGTCCAGTATATGCAAGGACCTTGTTGTTCTGTTCAAGTACCGCATACGCACAATTACATTAGAGCCTGCCGGCTCAGAAAAAAAAACATTACATCAATCAACGATATCAGGTGACAACATATGCGATAAATTCACCACTAGAAAGTAGTGTTTCTTTCACCTCTCATTTTCTCGCGCTAGTTAGGGTCTAAATTATTCCTTGCATTGTGCGGATATATATTGAGTTTAGAGCTAATGTTGATTTGCCAGTAATCCTCTGATGTGATGGTGACGAAAACGTTTAGGAACAAGCTTCTCTAATGGTGTTTGTACTGAGTGCGCAGCTTACTCTATTTATTGTGTTGAATAATAATAATAGTAATAATATTACAGGGTGCGACAGAGCTCTCGGCCATTGAAGAAAATGTTGAGTCACCTCCACCACCACACTGCGCTCTTTAGCCGACTAGACCCTCCTGCACACAACCATCACCATTGCGAGCACCTTCCGTAGACGATATTGATAAATTCCTTCAGACAGCTGTTTCTTTAATACATAGCTCATCAGTGAAGGTAGATGTTGAATGATTAAAAATATATTATATGGAAACCCCCTATATAATAGCAGTTCGGTCTATATCTTTAATCAAGGGGGAAGCTTTGCGAGAACGAATTGTCCTGATGAGCCGTCACGAATCATACGGCGAAACGTACGTTGTGTGAAACAACTTGTTTTGTAGTCAACTAGTCCATCACAATGTCATGCATGAGGAGTACTGTAGGAGTTTGGATTTTGGCTTGTACAATTCGTTCTCGCAAAGCTTCTCCTTCTTAAATTATCTTTGATATTTTCGACCCACCCAAGTTGGGTGGTGTGCTGCTTTGCTGCTTCGAATTGTAGTTAGACCGTTTTGTCAAATCGCCTACTGGTCTCGTCATCGTCCAGCGACAATCGACATTCTTTGTTCCGTTGGGACTGTAGCTTGTGCTAGTTTTCGTTGCGGTTTTTTTTTGTAGCCAAGGACTTTGTGCGGCCGTGGGCGGTGAAAGAAAATTAGAAATCATGACAAGGCTACAGAGGAGTTACGCCATCCTTATTAAATAATAATAATAATAATAATATGAAGTAGTGGTTGCGATTTCGGCGATGATTTGTAATAAAGGATTTGCTCCCCACACCGGAGCTCGCGCTATTCCGCCGACTTTACTTGACACTTGACTGACTCACGACTGCCATCCAGAGCACACGAGAAGTCCATCAAACCTTCGGCTCGGCAAAACTGCAAGAAAGCACCACTCCCTGCTCAATACACAGTGTTTTGGGGAATTCACCCCTCATCAGTTGAGCTTGAGAAGGCTGAGGAAGATTGTGCCTGAAGAGCACCACTTATATAGTGCTCTCCAGGCACAACATCACCAGGGATACAAACTTACAGAGACGCTCCGTTTCCAGCGCGACAAACACCTCGTGAACACCAGATAGCAGCGTGAGTCAGTGTTGCTCCTGGATGGTTAGACAGACGTCGAGGACCCTTGGTCATTCGCAACGCTGTCACCTCCAAACCAACTAGTCGCAAGCCCGCGCTGGGCACAACAGTACTTCGTAGTAGGTAGTCCATTTTTGTGATCACTCTTTTTGTATTCGAATATGTCCTGTCCTCCTCTATCTTCTTGTATTAAAATATGTTCTGTCCTCCTCTATCTTCTTGTATTCGAATATGTCCTTTCTGTTTCTGTTCGTCTCTCAGTATTTTTGCTTTGGTTTTTACAATCCTTTTTGCTTCGGTCTTCATTGCGTTGCCCATTTTGCTATTTTTTTCTCTCATTACCCTTGGTCTCGTTAGGCCCGGTTATGAGGTTCTTACCTCATGTCATGCCAACGTGAGTGAAATAAAGCCAACTCCATGATAATAAGATGTTGGATTTTGGACTGAGTTTCTTTCCTTTCTTCCTCTTCCTTCCCCTATTTCTTGTCCCTTTGGTTTTTGGCTTTTTATTTTATTTTTTTCATTTTATTTTTGCTGTCCCACCCATGGAAATATTTCCCGGTGGGTCTGGCTTACCGCCTTCGAAAGAAGTGAATAAAGGAGACATAATAATTATGCCACAGCACGCGTGCAAAGGCCAAAGAACAATGCATGAGAATACACTGAAATTAAGCCAAGTCCGCTTCTGCTGACTGTATAATATCTGGTTAATTGGTGGACAGTTTGTCATAACTCTGATAGTTCTTGTACTAAGATTGAAGTTGACTTGGTGTTTGATTACTGTACTGCTTGATGTCTGAATTCCAATTTTTTTTTCTATTTTTTCTTTCTTTTCCTTTCCTTTCCACTTATCCCGTTATCGGCCCTCTTAAGAGTTGTGTGTATCACTGTTGAGGCATCCGATGGTAAATAAAATAAATACTACTACTACTACTAACTCGTAACATTTTGTCCTTTTCCTTTCTTCATCATAACTATATTGGCTCACCATCCGAGTTCAAATATTTTATTATTATTGCGCATCCGCACACACATTCTCTAAATCTCTATCTCTCACACACAGACACACACACACACATTCATTCTCTATATCTCACACATGCACACGCACACACACATTCATTCTCTATATCTTACACACACACACACACGCATTCTCCAAATCTCACACACACATTCTCTAAATCTTACATACACACACATTCTCCAAATCTCACACAAACATTCCGTCTCTCTCTCTCTCTCTCTCACACACACACACACACACACACACACACATACTAATAGTTCAAAGTAGTGGTTGCGACTTCGGCGATGATTTGTAAGAAAGGGTTTGCTCCCCACACTGGAGTTCGCGCTATTCCGCCTACTTTACTTGACACGTGACTGACTCACGACTGCCATCCAGAGCACACAAGAAGTCCATCGAACCTTCGACTCGGCAAACCTGCAAGAAAGCACCACTCCCTGCTCAATACACATTGTTTCGCGGAATTCACCCCTCATCAGTTGAGCTTGAGTAGGCTGAGGAAGATTGTGCCTGAAGAGCACCACTTATATAGTGCTCTCCCGGCACAAACATCACCAGGGATACAAACTTACAGAGACGCTCCGTTTTCAGCGCCACGAACACCTCGTGAACACTAGCGGAATAGCACGAGCTCCAGTGTGGGGAGCAAACCCTTTCATACTGATAGTTCCCGGTTATAAGTCGAATCCGGGTTGTAAGTCGACCCCCATCCCTTCTCCTTCTCTTTTGAGTCGTGAAATGTCGACTTACAACCGGAAAAATGCGGTAGGTGACATAATTCGCATCTTTTTTTGGCGCTACACTCTGCGTTTACATACTGCTCTTGTGTGGCTTCCACTGAATTCATTGGTATTACCTGTGCCGAAATGTTGTAAAAAGAACGGAACTGGTTCGGATGTGATGTGCAGCGCTATGAGAATGGGTGTGTCCACCCGAATTCCTTTCATAATAATCTCTATATTGCATAATCCTAAATTCTAATCGTTTGTGTGCAGTTATGACATCCCACTGACGTTTCCATACTCTGTGCCTTGTGCTTTTCCTCCAAACACTTTCTTGATGCTGCTTTTGGTGCTAATGCAGATGCTGACACCACTTCTCAAAATGCTAACAAAAATGTCGCACAGCAGCAAAAAAGTCCAGTACCTACACCAGGTGAGATTGAAATCATTGAATTCAACTTGTCCGCATCATACTTCCTAATATTGCATGCTGTCCGCAGATTGAGTCCCTCCTATTATTGTTATTATTTTAAAAGGAAGGTAAGTTTTGGGTCTCAAGTATCCACGCAAACATACACGGAGTCATAATAAGGCACTTGTCAAAAGTATCCGAACATTTTCGGTCCCTTCTCATCCAGGAAGATACAGGGAATGGCTCAATTCGGAAAGACTAAAACTTATTATGGCGTAAAGATAATGAGATAACAACACTCGTCACAAGGCGGAAAATTATCAAGTTCAGCACGACACAAAACTTGAAGGAAAATAATAATAGTGACCACAACATAGTGAGCAGATTAAGTTACATTGTTAACACCTCGACGAGGAGTAACACCAAACAATTGTCATGAAAACACATTTTCTTTCTGTACGCAAAGTTCAGGAACTAACTTTCGGATATACAAAACTTCTAACACAGCCAGATGCAACGCACAGGGGACAATATTGAGAAAACATTATCACTCTACAACTCACGACAATTGGTACGGGCTGACTGTTGTTGCTTGATTAACGAAATACAATTCTTGGCTCAGTTGGGTGTTGTCTCTTCCAATGTCCCGTCATCTCGCGTGCATCAAGCGGAACAAAACTTAACGGCACATGTTGACGAATGCGCACGCCCAGGTGCTGAAGGGTTCTACCTACATAACGATCTTCACATTGACGGCATTGAAAGAAATAGATAAGGTTGCTTTTACTAAGGGTAGGTAGAACGTCCTTGTAGTTTCACCAACACTCCAAAACACTCAAAAGCTGTGCTTAGTATATGGAGATAGTGTAAATTTGATAAGAAAGACAAAGCAAACTCTATGAGCACCAAAGAAAAACTCTACCATGAACAAGAAAGCCACCAAGACAAGGCTACCTCTTGCCCAGAGGAACAGTCCCGAAAAGGTGCTAGGAAACCAGAAACGGATACAAGAAAAGAAAAAGTGCAAAATTCCGTACTGCACCGCACTGTGCGTGAGAGCCCCGCACGGGATCTTCGCAAACTTCGCGGAGAGATTCAGGACACGCATTGCCAAAAGGAGAAGTGTGAAGAGGTCAAAAGTACAAGTGCGATTCCAGTGCAAAACAGCAGATCACAGAAAACTATCGCAGGCAAGTCAAACTACTTTCGAAATTGTCGCAGTTGGACTAGTGACTTGTCACTTGTTACTGACAACTCCATAAGCTAAGCCATTATTACACAGTATGATAGTCTGAAGACTAGAGTAACATTCCAGGACAGTTGGACTGAGAGTCTTCATGAAGAGATGAAGTCCTCGTCGTCGCTGATGTCAATGGACGCAAAAATATCGTTCCGAAATATTTCAAGGAAGGTTGAAAGTTGGTCGTGCCTCATCTCAAACGCTTTGACTTTCTCCACAGGACAAGAGCTGCTATGCTTGTCGTCTGCTAGCTCTGGATGATCTGGATGACCAACGAAGCCTAGTAAGAATACACGATCGTTGCGAGGCCGGTTGATTACCGTCGGCGGAATCACCTCGATCTTGAAAAGAACATTTTTTAGCCGGGGCATGCCCATTTATTTTAGCTGTGTGGTCACAGCTCGTGCAGGTAAGTGAACTATCACGTCCGGCGCGCCCTCTTTTTCAGCATCACTGGTATACCATGGTACGGCACCTGCGCGTGCATCACTAGCACTACGTGTAGAGTACACACCGCTCTTGCAGGTACAATCATGTACTGAGTGTCTCAGCCAGAGCAACACATTTTACCGCTGTTGCAGGCATTTAGTTTGCTGACCCCTGGATATTTCTCCAAGCGCTGCTACTTGTTCCACGAAGTCATTCTCACCCCAGCTAAGGTAAAACAGTGATGAGGCTTGAGTGAATGGCCATTAGCACGAGAAATGTGCAGGCTGCAACGCCTAACTGATCTCAGCGAGTCGAATTTCCATCGCAGCGACATCAGCGAAGAAATTGAGTCTAGTTCAAAAATTCCAGCTTCCAATAACAGAAAATAGAACTTTGCCGTCACCCTATACTAATGACTATCACCTATGTCCGATTCCTTGCCTCTGGTACGAGTGCTGGTGAGTAAACACCACGTTTTATATCAAAAGTCAAACTGCGACAATTTCGATGACGCGGAGGAAGTACACGTATGCATGGCTACCAGATCCCGCGGATCTAGCGCTAGCAACAATCGCGCGTGATCACATGATCAATGATGGAATAATTCAAAAATAATTCAAAGATGTTGCTGCGATTGCACACTTCGGCAGCTGGCACAGGGCAAGAAAGAAAAGAAACGAATTCAAAAACAGTTCGAACACAACGAAGAAATAAGTTTGAGAGAACAATAAATTTATCAAGTAGAACAAATTCGTTGATCCCCGAGCTGCAGAGAGTGCTCAATGTCAGAGACAGAGCTTAGTACATAGCAGACTCAGCGGAGGACGTTCAGGTTGGTTGCAACTCTGAGTTTCATGCCGCTAGCCAATCATCAGACAACTGATACTCGGGTCTACCCAACAGTATGCTTATAAACACATAGGGCCACAAGCATAAACAAATTTAGCGCTAAATCTGGTGTGAGGCATGGGGAGAAAGCTGGCGCGGGCCAAGGCGCGACAGTGGAAGTGCCAGGAGGGTGGCGGTCAACAGGCAGGTGTGAGCATGAAAGCACGGAAAGAGGCGAGGGAGAGGCAGTGTACAGCAGATGGGTGGAGGTGCCAGGAGGGTGGCGGGCAATGGCCCAGTGAGATCGCTACAAGTAGGGAGTCGTTTGGTGACGGGCAGGCGTGAGCAGAGTGGCATCGCCAACATCAGGCCAAGGGATTGTGTTATTAATAATAATGGGTGCTCAGGCAAAGTGCAGTACAGTACTTGGTTAGTTCATTTTATAGGTGTGAAATTTGCGAGGCGGAACTTGTTCTCATGCCTGCATTTCGAGACCATCTCAGACTGCTTGTTGAGTAGGAGCTTCTTGGGTGTAGTCAGGATGTGGAATTTTTCCGCAGTACAAAGATTGCATTTTTTTGACTCACATCTGTATGATCGGCTTTTCTTCCGCACCTTCCATTTAATGATCAACGGCTTTCCTTCGCTCTTCAGCTCCCATACGTGTTTTGCGAGCTCAGTGCTGTTTTTTGTATTTTTCATGACGCATGTAGGTCAGGTGGTTGGCGTGACGGGCTTTCAAAGGTGTCTCTGATAGGCCGATGTAAATCTTGCTGGTAGATTCTGCCTCATACACAATCTCCTTCGTCTGGCACTCTCCGCGCAGCGGGCAGGATTCCTTGATTCTACAGTTGCATGCCTTGGTTTGTTCTGGCTCTCGCAGGTTGCACTTGTTGTGGCTGCTGATGACCGCTCCCATGTTGGGCATGCAACTGTAGCTCACTTTCAGAGTGTTACGGTTGAAAATCTTCCCGAGCTTGGATGTTTTCGGGAAGTGCCTGGAGACAAGGCTCAGGAACCTACCAGCGACGTTTGTGCTAACGTTTTTGGAGTAGCGAGGGTTGAACCATATGACCTTCCTGCTCCTGTGCTCATGTGCCTCGGGCTGAAAACTCAGCACTTCGGTGTATCCACTGGCCTTTAATGCGGTCTGGTACACGGGGGCTGCATGGTTGAATGCCTCCGCGTCGCTTGATATAGCGGAAAGGCGCTTGTTGACAGCAGCAGGGATGTTGTTGGTGATCCCAGGAGGGTGGTTGGACTGCTTGCTGACGTAGAGCGGGTTGTCATTTGGCTTTCGGAAGGGTTGAAATTTCCCGGTGTCCAGGTTCATGGTGACATCCAGGAAACCCACCACCTTCAAGTTCGCTTCGATGGTAATTTTTAGGTTGAAGCGCTTGAAGATTTCCGTCATCTTTTTTCTGAGGCGGTCTGCAGCCTGTGGGCTGGTGTCCTTGAGGGCGGCCAGTCCATCGTCTCTGAAGAGGTCGATAGCGGATCTATCAACGAGGCTTGAGAGCTGGTTGAGAAGAAAGGCGCCCACAAGTTTGCACGTCTCGGCGCCATCGTAACTTCCCCTTGTTACGTCAAACATGTCGCCCTTGTCCTTCATCCAGGGCGGCCATCGTGGAATAGGAGCGATTTCCGGGCGTGAAAGATGATGTCCATTTCATGCGGCTCGATCGTGGTGAATTTCTCCGCGAACGATAAGGCCTGACGGAGGAGCTGCTCACCAATTGACAGGTAGAATTCTACCACGTTAAAGCATAGGAACCTGTGGCGCTGTTTGTCGGGTATCTCCTTGAGCCACTCGATCACTGACATGGTGCTCCTCCATAGGTTCGTCAATCAAGCAACATCTGTCAGCCGGTACCAATTGTCGTGAGTTGTACAGTGATAATGTTTTCTCAATATTGTTACGTGGTAGATGTGCGTTGCAGCTGGCTGTGTTAGAAGCTTTGTATATCCTGAAGAAAGGAAAAGGCCAAAATGTTACGAGTTATGACAAACTGTCCACCAACGTAAACAGATCTTATACACTCAGCAAGTGCGACAAAAGTCGTTGAGTTGTAGTAAGGCCGGTCTGTCCAATAGTCTTACTAGTTTCGTCATCATCCAGTAACTTTCGGCATTCTTTGTTGCCGTGATGCGTAGCTTGTGCTCTTCTTCATTGCGCTTTCCTTCCCCTCTTGGACCTTTCCGAACTTGAGCCTTCCAAGTTGGAAGGTTTGTTGGTTTGCGCCTTGGGGAAGTGTTGGAGCTAGGTATCAGGTCGCCGAATATCTCAGCACTCCTTGTCAGTTTTGTGCCGTTTTGTCGCACTCGCTGACTGTATAAGATCTGGTTACGTTGGTGGACCGTTAGTCATAACTCGTAACATTTTGTCCTTTTGCTTTCTTCATAATAACTATATCGGCTCACCATCCGAGTTAAACTTTGTATATCCGTAAGTTGGATCCTGAACTTTGCGTACAGAAAGAAAATGTCTTGTCGCTACAATTGTTTGGTGTTACTCCTCGTCGAGGTGTTAACAATGTAACTTAATCTGCTCACTATGTTGTGGGCACTATTATTATTTTCCTTCAAGTTTTGTGTCGTGCTGAACTTGATAATTTACCACTTTGTGACGAGTGCTTTTATCTCATGATCTTTACACTATATAAGTTTTAGTCTTTCCAACTTGAGCGATTCCCTGTAAAATCCTTGATGAGAAATGACCGAAAACGTTCGGATACTTTCGCACAAGTGCCATATTTTGTCTGGACGTGTGTTTGCGTGGATACTTGCGAACAAAACGTACCTTTAAAGTATGTTCCGCCTCCGCCGTCTTGTAAAAAATATTATTATATGCAAGTACGCGTTGCTGGGGACCCCATTAGATGGAGGTTGCCCAGGTTCGCTTGTGCCAAACTGATTATGCCAACGCCCTATGACAAAAACATACAGAGAGAAAAAAATCGCGAGGAAACGAAACAAGAACAATATTCGCACAAGCAAAAAGGAAGCTAAACGATAATAAACAAAAAAAAAACAAGAACAAAGCAAAAACAACAAACAAATTCAACGAAGTACTCCTTCATCGAGTAACACTTCCACGATACGTTCACATGTGATGCCAGTTTGGGGATCCGGTGCACCCATTCCACACATATGATTTCTTTACTGGGAATCCTGTACACGGCGGCTGCTTTTCCGCAAGGGTGTTTAATCGAGTGCCTCTGCCAGCCAGGACTCGTTACAGCCTCTGTAAGCTATGACGTTACTGTTATTGCAGCAACCATGACCAGTTACAAAATCTGTCAACCATGGCTTGTTACAAACTCTGTCAACCATGGCCTGTTACAAATTACATCAACCATGACCTTTTACAACCTCTGTTGACCATGACTCGTCACAAATTCTGTCAACTACGACTGGTCACAAACACTGTCAACCATGACTGGTCACAAACACTGTCAACCATTACTCGTTACAATGTACATGTACAACCTCTGTCAACCATGACTGGTTACATGCCAGCTCAGTATGTACATACACAGTCTAAGCATGCCTTGTCACAGGTCTCTAACTAGATGATTCTGAACTGCTGTAAGACATGTGAATAAAACCAAGAGTGCACAAACAAGAGTATGCAACTGTGGCGATGGGTCAGTGCGCGGCACGCTGCTTTCATTACGTAATTTGCCTTCATCACGCTCTGAAAGCATGCATTCAAACTCACAATTTCTCGTACGAGCCCATCCGTTTTTACTCGATACGTTGCAGTACCTACGCAATTTCTCAATTCTGGCGAGTGAACTCCAGTTTCGTACAAAAGTTCATTTCAAACCAGAGGGAAAGTGCTGAGTTTGATTTTCCGCAGTGCGCGGACTGCAGCTGAATGATGTAGGCAGCACGCCGCGAATCTGGCCCATAGAAAAGAGATCACTCTTGTTTATGGACTCTTGATAAAACCAGGAAGTAAATAAAATATTTTGATTAATGAGATTTCTTCGATCGTAAGTTCTGTTGGGGCTGTAAGGCGTCATATCTGTTATATGCGAAACATGTCTGAAGACTGCAAGATTGTTAACATATGCGCCCGGATTAGCGAAAACTATCAATGGTGTTTGATATCAAATTAATCAAAAAGTGACGTTGCTTCGTTACCGCAAGTGCTTTTGGGGCTGTAAGGCCTCCTATGTGTTATGTGCGGATATGATAGCATATTCTCTCGTTATCTGTGGATTTTGGAAAACTTGTAAGGCGATTTGTTTTGTTGCTGTACACAGCTATTATTCTAATGAGCCTCAAATATAAAGGTTACTTAAAATTGGCCGGTTTACGTATTCGAAAGATAACGGCTATCATCAGAAATATAAATCTGAGAGGATTTATCCATTTCTGGAGAATGTCTTGTCTTTCACCGACAGATTTCTTCTCATCACCTCGTTAGATTTAGCACTTGATTACATATGAGGCTTTTACAGTCACACACCTTTGCAGTTATATCTCCGAATATGGGGAAAAATTGCGTTACACAATATTGGTCTGTTAGATGTGAATCACAATTGTTAAATTTGAGCTCTCTGATTTGTTTGTCTCTTAGAGGTGAAGAAGGCCAATCCACTCTTCACTGATCATGAGGGCAAAATAGTTTGTTTCTACCTCCCAGCCGTCAAGCCTGGCTACTCAAGACAGCTGGTGGGGATTGGACAACATGGCTCGGTGAATGTTTCGAAGGAATTCAAAAATTCTCAATTGGGTGACCGTAGCTATGTGTTCGTCAAACCAGGCTATGATAGCTATGGTTTCCAATATGTTCGTGACAGCGATGGACGTAGGTCACCTGTCGGTGCCGAGTTCTCATTGGGTAAGTAATTAAGGAGTACAAAGGGGACAAGACAACTGATGATTTTGCAATACCGATCCACTTTTGATTATTCAAGTAGCATTTTGAACAATCACTCCTCTTGTAGTTTGAGGTGTTGTGTACTTCGAAAAGGTGGAGAATCGAGAAGCTCACCGTACTGAATAATGCCAAGAACCCGAACAGCCTGAACAAAAGAAGCGAACTCCTATCAAAATGCCACCAAGAGAACAAATAAAGTTAACAAAATTGACATTTAGGGTTACATAGTAGAACAAGTTAGTCGCCAGTCGAAGGATTTTTGTAGTTGCACGTCTATGAAAGTGCACATGCCCATAGAATGAAAGAGAAGATGAACAACCACCACGACCACGATGACGACAACGACGACAACGACAACAAGCAAGAACAACCAACAACCAACATCAAAAACAACAACAACAACAACAGATTGCATCGGGTGTTGAAGAGCGATGCCTTGTCACTGTTCCTTATGGCGATTTTCTCCGTTAGGCATAGGTTGCACCGCTTCGAGGTTCTTTTCTAGACGCTGGATCTCTGTCTGATTCTCCACGAGATGTTGACATCTTCACCTGCCTCCTTCAGCGCCCATGCATGCTTTGACAATTCTGTGCTGTTTCTCTGTGGGGCATTCCGGAACGATGACGTGTGGTTGTTGAAAAGGAGCTTGAATGGGGTTTCGGAGATGCCGATGTACTTCTTCTGGCTGAGATTTGAGTGCACTGTAGCTTCGTATCCTATCTCGTTGACATTCCAGTCCCCGTTGACAGAGAGATAGAGTCACAGACAGAAACGAACAGAGAAGGACAGAGACGGACAGAGACGTACAGAGACAGACAGAGGCAGACAGAGACAGACAGAGAGACAGGGACAGGGACAGGGAGAGAAAGAGAGACAGAGGAACAGATAATATGTCTGTCTGTCTCTCTCTGTCTCCCTATGTCTCTCCGGCTCTCTGTCCCTCTGTCCCTCTGGCTCTCTGTCTCTCTGTCTACATATCGCTCTATCTATCTCTCTCTCTGAGAGGCAGACAGACAGACAGCGACAGAGAGACAGATAGACAGAGACGAAGAGACAAAGAGAGACAGAATAACAGAGAGTCTGTCTGTCCGCCTGTGTGTTTGTCTGTCTGTGTGTGTGTCTCTCTCTCTGTCTGTCTTTCTCTCTCTCCATATCTCTCTCTATCTCTATCTCCCTATCTCTCTCTCATAATCCTGCTTGGAAATCGTCCATCTGCAGTTATGACATGCCACTAACGTTCCCATACTCTGTGCCTTGTGCTTGTCCTCCAAACACTTTCTTGATGCTGTTTTTGGTGCTGATGCTGATGCTGCTGCTACACCTGATGCTGATGCTAATGTTGCACAACAAACTCCAGTATCTACACCAGGTGAGTTGAAGGCATTGAATTCAACTTGCCTGCATTATACTTCCTCTGCATCAGCTAAGTGTGTGTTTATCTTTTAAGTGCCTGTAAGGTGTTTTTTTTATAAAGTGGAAACATTTACGTGGAAAACGTGATCCAAGACTTTAGAGAAGGAACTGACATCTTTCATAACTTGCCGTTGATCTTGGCTTAAACTTATTTGCTCACAACAACAAACAGTTTTTATTAGCTACCACAATAGCTTCACATGCGATACCAGTTTGCGGAGCCAGGGCACGCATTCCAGACATATCATGGTCTCTTTGTTGGAAGCCCTGTACACAGCAGCAGCTTTTCCGTGAGGATGTGTAGTCAAGTAGCTCTGCCCGCCATGCCCCGCTACAGCCTCTGTCATCTATGACGTCACTGCTATTACAGTAACCAGGGCTAGTTACAAACTCTGTCAGCCATGACTCGTTACAAACTCTGTAGACCATGACTCGTTACAAACTCTGTAGACCATGACTTGTTGCACACTCTTTCAGCCAAGCCTTGTAAAAATTTCTGTTTACCATAATACGTTACAAACTCTGTCAACTATGTCGCGTTAAAAACTCGGTCAACCATGACTTGTTATAAACTCCGTTAAGAATAGCTCGTCACAAATTCTGTCAACTACGACTGGTCACAAACACTGTCATCCATGACTGGTCACAAACACTGTCAACCATTACTCCTTACAATGTACATGTACAACCTCTGTCAACCATGCCTGGTTACATGCCAGCTCAGTATGTAAATACACAGTCTAAGCATGCCTGTTCACAGGTCTCTAACTACAATGTAGGCGATTATGAACAGCAGGAAGACGAGCGAATAAAAGCATGGAGTAAACGAGAGAGCTTGGAAGCTCAGGGCCCTACGCTATGCTTTTTTGCCCAGCTCATCGTCCATGTTATTAGAACTAATAATACTTTAAACAGCTATTTTTCTAACCAGCCACAACTATAAAGATGTCCTTAAATTGGCCGGTTTACGTGTACCAAAGATAACCGCTATTATTACAAATATAGTTCGCAGTGCTTACTAGCGACAATAGATTTATCCAATTCTGAGGAACGTTTTCCATTTAACTAGACTTAGCACTTGATTACATTAAATTTTACATTCACATACCTTTACAGTACGGTCAGCTAGGAGTCGCTCCGAGAACTGCTGTCTGCACTGGCTCACTGCCGATGGTGCTGGTGAAGCAGTCCGACATGGCGCCCTCCAGCTTGACGACCAGGATCGTCGAGCACAGCAGGTGGTGTATCATGCAGAGCTCACCTGGAAGGAAGATACCTCTCATGACCTCGAGCAGCTTACGACGATCCACCTTATCCAAAGCTCTGCTCAGATCCAGGCCCAGGCCATGACACTGCCAGTGGAACCGCTGTGCTCTCAACGCAAGCCAGCGTAATCACCACAGGACGTCACATGTGCTTTTGCCGGAGCAAAATCGTGCCGGAACTGGGCCCAGAAAATCCGTTATAGGAGCTCGGGTGCGGCGAAGCGTAATGAGGGATAGAGCTTTTCTGCCCGTATTCAGAAGTATACCAGGCCTCAGGTTCTTGACTGGCCCTTGCGGCTTGTTGGGTTTGGGTTGGGGCATCAGCACTCCTTGACTGATCACCTCCGAAATGTCCGCACAATTCTCAAAGCTGATGTTCAACACATCGGCCATCACACCGTGGAGAACCTCTGGGCTGTACTTCAGGAGTTCTCTTCGTGCGCCATCCGGCCCGACAGCTTTTTGGTTCTTCAAACGGGCCACCGCTTTGCTTATTTCATCACAACTGATTCTGGTAACCATGATGTGAGCGTGCGGGGGTGGCAAGCCGGTCTGCTCTTCAGCGGTGAACAGGAATTGGAAATGACTCTTCACCCGTGCTACCTCGCTTTGCCGTTGCGGTATCACATGCCCATCATCCGTTTCAACTAGCAATGAGTGTTTCGCCTTCTGTCGGAACTCCTTCACTGCTCTGAACATCTGGACATTCTACGCTACGCTGATGACGTGACGCTGATGAGCACTAGCAAACAATGGTTACAACTGGCCCTGCCTATTATCGACATTGTATTCGCAGACTGGCATCTAAAACTCAACACAGAAAAAAAACAGAATGGATCCACCTCACCCACGACAGTGATATCTGGAAGTCTTCCAAGCAACTGGGATTGCTGCTGGGGTATGTAGCGGATTGTGAGCGCCGGATACAGGTTGCCTCGACAGTATTTTGTTAGAATGTACTCACTGTGGATCAGATGGGAGAAAATCAGCGAGAATCGGAGAATCAAATTGTACCGTGCATTTGTGAAGCCATGCCTAACCTATAACTGTGCTAGACGAAGGCCCTGGCGAGTGCGATTGACAGATGCCACAGACGCCAGCTCAGGAGCCTCATTGGCATAAGGTTCCCGAACAGGACATCGAACATCGACCCGTACCAGCGCTGTCGGGAAGAGCCGCTGTCATCCACCATCGAGAAGGCTAGTCTGCGGATGCCGGGACATGCACTGCGACTGTTGCCGGACACCCCAGCGCAGCAAGCCATGAGTGGGTACTTCACTCCACAGCAACGTGGGTGAAAGGGCCGGCCAAGATCGTCGCTGGTCGGCACCCTGAACCAAGACATGCTCAGCAGAGGCAAGCCGGGTCGCTCAAGCCGAAGCCATCTGGACGACCTAAGACAGTTTGCTGTGGATCGCAATGGATGGCGGCAGATAGTTTGAAGGAGTCGCCACAACTGTCGGATATTGACAAACATATGAGCCGCAATCAGCGAAAACAACCCTTAGAGGTTTCGTAATTTTTTCGAGAAATAGGTCGATTTGTGACGTTCAACGATTTTTGATCGCGCTGCCAACAGCACGACGACTTCTTGAACCCCTTGCTTGAAGTATTATTTATTTTGAAGTTGAAGTTGTGTCGAGTGGCGATCTGGCTGCGATGGCTTCGGACGCCAGAGTTGTTCAAGGAGCGCACACGGCAGTCATTGTGTACAGCTAACTCGAACCTGGTGGAGAGTGGATGCTGAAGTAGCCGCTGAAGTTCAGAGTGAAGGTGAGACGTTCTTTGGTTACGACATCGTTGTCGACAGCGAGGCGGAATCGCAGCCGTCATCTCCTGCTGTGATGCGGCTCAAGGTGGCCGATGACTCGTCAGAGTCGAAAGATGAGGAGTCGTCACCTGAGATAAATTCTGAGTCTGGGGCTAGTGACGGCAGCGACGCCGTGTCTTCAGCTGCGGAGGAAGAAATGGAAGACAAGATTGCGGAACGACTCCACGCAGGATGCAGCTGCGAATATGTCGGTCATTTCTCCGCACTCATCAGCTATTCTTTGTCATCATAGCTGCTTACTGTACTATTTCAAAAGTATTCAAGCTGCCCACCCACATTCGAAAGCTGAATATTCATTGTACACATACATCGTATACATACATTGCACCAATTTGGAGTACATCTTGTATATTAGTGTATACGCCCGTTTTGAATCGGAATATTGAATTTTGTCTTCGCTGAGGTCCTTCAGTAGATGTGTTTCAACAAATTTCCAACCAAAAAGGAATTTCGAAAATGTTGACCCTAAGGGCTGTTTTCGCTGGTTTAGGCCCTTTATTGGTCAGAGCTAGGGAACAGCAGCGGAGCCGTGTGCGCTCCTTGAACAACTCTGGCGTCTGAAGCCATCGCAGCCAGATCGCCACTCGACACAACTTCAACTTCAAAATAAATAATACTTCAAGCAAGGGGTTCAAGAAGTCGTCGTGCTGTTCGCAGCGCGATCAAAAATCGTTGAACGTCACAAATCGACCTATTTCTCGAAAAAATTACGAAACCTCTAAGGGTTGTTTTCGCTGTCTGATTCGTAGGCAGCTCCGAGATCGATCTGCCCCAGAAAGTGTGAAAACGTTTGGACTTTTTTGAATTTTTTTCATCTTTGTTGATTATCGATTCTTTCGTTTTCACTTTCGTTGTGTTTGGTAAGAATTTTCCTTTTATTTTTCCGCAATGTCAGGTGAAGTGCAGGCTCCCCAACGTCCCCCTCCACCCCCGTGTCTCCCTCTGTAGCAACTCCTGTAGAATGCAGAAGAATTCGGAAATTTGCAGTCTTAGATGACATGATTCAAGTTGGTGAACTTGATCTTGTCCTCTGGACATGAAAACGTCTTTGCCTTACTGCAAGGGAATAGGGCCTTGCAGGACATTGGCAACGTCCTGTCACGGTCGGAGCCAAAGCTGGGCGGCATCACCAGCCGGGCAGTGAAGGACCGAGCTGAAAAAGTCTTTGCGCGAAGAAATTTTGCAGAGGATCTTTCAAATTTTCTCTCCGCCATATTTACCATGGCAATCAGGATGCGACTCGCTGTCTTCTCGTGCACGAGTCACTGAACCTATTTTGGGTACTGAACGAGCCGAATACAAAATGAATTCGATCTTGTTTCGTTTACGAGTTGACAACGAATCACTGAACCTCTCTATTATTGTTATTATTATTATTATGAGTCTTTATTCCACTCCAAATTGAAAATAAAAATAAAAATTGGAGGTATTACACTAACTCACCGGACTTATCATAGCCAAAGGTAAGCAGCACGGAATAATATATGGAAAAAAGTAAGGTAGAGAGAGAGGAAGGGAGAAAGGCGCATGTACCATCACAGGCATTAAAGCCCAAAGGTATCATGGCAACAGGTATTGCAGAAAGGGGAGCATCAGAAGTTGGCGAAAAATTCAGGCCAGCAAAGCTCATCACTGGGCACAACCTCCAATGCGCACCCACAGAAAGATCAAATACGAATACCCACAGAAATACCACAGTGTTTCAATTACAAACTAAAACGAATACAATAACATACAGAGCATAAAAAGCCCACCAGGGACAGCGAAGAGCCCTATGCTGCACCCAAAACAGATCTTAGAATGGCCATCGAGCCAAGGATAGCAGCCTGCTGCAGTTCATGAAGGTGCCGCTCTTCTCCACATAGCTGCTTAATTGAGGTAGCCGCTTCCTTCGTCAGGCCACCAAGAGCACCAACTATGATGGGCACTACGGACACTGCCTCTCGCTGCCAAATCTGCCCAATTTCCACTGCGAGGGGCAAGTACTTCGCTCTCTTTTCAGCATGTTTTAGTGTTACTCTATGATCCAGTGGCACACTGACATCAATAAGTTGGACTGACTTGCCATCGTCCCACACAAGATCCGGCCGATTTGCTCCAACCATCCTATCTGTAGGGATTGGCATTTCCCACATTAACTTACGGCCTTCACTATCCTCGACGTAGTGTGGCAAGTGGCCAGGGGGAGCAGGAGATACCAGTCTGTAGCGATGACAGAGTGCCCGGTGGACTATAGCGGCAAGACGATTATGGCGAGCAATGTATGCCGTCCGTGCCAACACGGGGCAGCATGCCAAAATATGGTCAACAGTCTCCCCCGGACCTCCACACAAACGGCACACGTCCACCACGGAAGTGTCGCCAATAACCGATCTTTGGTAGTTCCTGGTATTAACCACCTGATCCTGAGCAGCAAATACGGATGACTCAGTGGATGGACGCAATGTTGGAGACTTTAAGAAGTTGAATGAGAGAGGCATGTCCAATACACCGCCACTCCTCTGCCAATAGCGACCATGCAGGGGCTTCTGCCGCAGAGAAGCTTGGGTGGAGGTTCTGATAGCAGACTTAACAACGTCAGTTGTTGCACCTCCGATGTCCAGGATGTTGAAGTGCTCCATTGCCGTGGCCGCCCGGGAGATGATCGACTTTGTAGGCGGAAGATTTTCATGATGAGCATGCAGCGCAGCAATCAGCGGCAGGTCAGAGTGCGCCTGGAGATACCTAGACAGGCGGATGTATTTCCTCTCCAGCAGGTGCTCAACCGATACAATCCCTCGGCCGCCCTCAGATCTCAGATTATTATTATTATTATTATTATTATTATTATTATTATTATTATTATTTCTCCTTTATTCACTTCTTTCGAAGGCGATAAGCCAGACCCACCGGGAAATATTTCCATGGGTGGGACAGCAAAAAGAAAGTGAAAAAACAAAAACAAAAATAAATAAATAAATAAAACCTAAAACCAAAGGGACAAGAACTAGTTGAAGGAAGAGGAAGAAAGGAAAGAAACTCAATCCGAACTCCAACATCAAAACAATAATAAAGAATTTGCAGCGACAGGCAAAATACATCAACCAATGAAGGGAGTAGTAACAAAGGAAATATCAGTCTTTATCAGTCGTTATTCAAGTCTCTTAGCTATTGAACATGCAAACGCAGCAGAGGTGCATCTACATGTTAAGGATAGTTCTCAGTATTTTAATCGAACCTTGTATAGCCTCCTGTTGCACAATAGCCAGGTCTCCTCCCTGCACAGTCCGAAGGCATTGAGGAGTCTCCCCCACCAAGCCTCCCAGGGCACCGACAACCACAGGGACCACGTCAACCTGGTTGAGGGACCAAATCCTCGAAATCTCCCGCTTCAAATCATAATATTTCGAGCGCTTTTCAGCCATTTTCTTATTGATGTTGTTCTCACCAGGAACGCTGATGTCTATAATGTAGGCGATGCGCTCCTTGTCATCAACAAGGAGCAGATCGGGCCTGTTTGCTGATAGTTTCAGGTCAGTTGGGACCGAATACTCCCAATAGAGGCGATACTGATTACTCTTGACCAATGCCTTGAGCTGGTGGTCGAATCGTGAAGCACCAGTAGGTAGATTTCGTGCTTTACACATTTCGAAGTGCACATACTTTACTATCCGGTTATGTCGTTCAATGTAACTTTATTATTATTATTATTATTATTATTATTATTATTATTATTATTATTATTATTATTATTATTATTATTATTATTATTATTATTATTATTATTATTATTATTATTATTATTATTATTATTATTATTATTATTATTATACTCATAAAAAGGACACACTTCAGGCTCATTACAAACATCTTGAAAGTTTTTGTCTTC